GTGTAATGTCGAATCGAGAGTGTCTTAACGGAGTCCGTCTTGACGCCATCATCAGGTTATAAAGTGGAACATAATAATTAACTGTATTTCTTTGAATATAGGAAGCGTGGTACACATCAGGAAAGGGAATTCATTCTGCTACAGGATGGTTGGAAGAACGACTCCGAAATGTAAGGAGAAAGAGTGTTAAACACCGTCCAACTGAAAAAGATCTGAATACAGCTTCAACCTCATTAACACACCTGACAACATCTTTACCACGTTGATTTCGTTCATTTAAAATTATCCTATTTGGGGTTAATTTCCATGATGGATATATTAAATTGTGTCTTCATCTGTTTTCGAATAGATCCTGTTTTGAATGAATCAGACCATAATGGGATGAAGGAGTGGATGAAAGCAAACTTAGAACCTTTATCAACTTTAAAGAACTATATGGAAAAACGGTTTTAAACCGAGCAGAATGGATAAGGAAAACCCCAGACCTTCCAATGCGAGAAGTTATGAAGGAATACCCACGTCTTTTCGATACCCCTGGCATGGTACTGTAAAATTTTGAAACATTCCTGGAATTATGTATATACATTATTTATACAAATTCGTTTTTATTACTAATATTTTAGGTGAAAATAGACTTTAGAACACTATACGCAGATGTTGCAGAGAACCTCTTTCTGCGATTGACACCACCAATTGTGGAGAAGATTATTTCGTATGCAGACACACAAGCAGAGAAGTGGACAACGTACTTGCACATGATTCCAAGGAATTTGAAATCTGGTAAGAAAAGTATAATAACTAGCTAGTATAGGAAATGGTTTCGCATCAAAGGTCTAAATTCAGTTTTCAAATTGAAAGCAGTGGTTAAAAATAAACTTTATAGATGAAGAGAGAAAAAATGCAGCAATTGGTCTTCTTCCATGCGTGTTCCCAACTGGAAGAAAGAATAGAAAACGATGTACAATTGATGAAGCTTTGAGTGCTTTTATCGATTGCCAACCGGTATGCATTATCATATGTCATTTAAAGTATGATAACTCGGAACATTGCGTATAAAGGTCTAAAATATTTCTCATATTTAGGTTGGTACAAACATGCCAAAATATTTAGAAGAAGCTCCAAGATGCCCGTTTGTGTTGGCAATCGGTAATCGCTACAACCCAACACAAGTTTTTGTTATCATCGAAGGCCAGGGCTTGGAGCAGCCTAATCTTACGAAGGCAATTGATGTTTGTTTTAAAGTATTTTACATCCTGGATATTAATTATCCTTGGCAATGCTCTTCGTCGTGGGAATTCATACAAAAAGTTCTCTATGGCATCGAAGATAAGGTGAAAGGAAAGACAACCCCAGCTGTTGTTGCAATGAGAGCAGCTTTAAAGTAAATGGCTTTGTTGGCGATCATGCAGTGTTAAAACTACAAAAACATTCCAAGAGTTAAATTAGTTAATTTAATTGTTTTTCTGAAACTTTCACCTCTGTTCATATTAAATAATTGTTTTGTTTTTAATTTAAATCAAGGATCATATAAGAGGTTTTTGAAAATATTTTCATATTAGCTACAATAACCTCTTGCGTGATCCTTGATTTAAATTAAAAACAAGACAATTATTTAGTTAATTTAGTACTTAACAATATTATGTGAATTTTTCTAAAAATAAACCCTGTTCAATACGAATTTTGTGTTGAAAAACATGTCAAAGAAGCAAGGAACATCAGATTATAAATTTGATCCGTTAACAAGTTAAATTTAACTGGGATACAAGTCAAAATTTTAGCAGTAATTCCTGGTTAAATTAACCAGGAATAACTGGTTAATCAATGGAACCAGGATTTCCTGGTTAATATAACCAGGACTGCGTCGGACCCATATGGAATACTTTCCTGGTTAAAATTTAACCCCATATTGGTTAAATTTAACCAGGATGTTTCCTGGTTAAATTAACCAGGAATAACTGGTTAATCAATGGAACCAGGATTTCCTGGTTAATATAACCAGGACTGCGTCGGTCCCATATGGAATACTTTCCTGGTTAAAATTTAACCCCATATTGGTTAAATTTAACCAGGATGTTTTTAGAGTGATATAAACCTTTCGCTCAATTAAAATGACAAAAATACAAACAAATATAATTATAGTCAATATAGACCATCAGGACGGCCGTAGCTAGCATGTATAGTTGGGGGGCCGGGTGGTGTAGGCCAAAAATTTCCGAGTGAAGAAGAAAATTTCCGAATATTTCATGGCAAACAAAGCCACGAAGGTGTTTGTTATCCGGAAAATGAAGATGAAATTTACAAACAAAAATACACATAGTTTATGCAAAGACATATTACAGAAGCATGTAGTGCTGGGAACGAGGGCCGAAGTCCCGAGGAAATTTTTAAATTTAGATTCTCTGAAATGCCATTTCCTGGACTTTGGGGAAGTTTTGACAGAATTCTGATGATCAGAAAACGGAGTTTTAATACGATATTTGTGACGTTACTTTGAGTATGCATCCACAGCGTACAAGCTGAAAAGTTTGCTTGGCCACGGTGGGAGTCGAACCCGCGACTAGTTCAATGTTCTGCCAACTGAGCTACGTGGTCAAGTCTGTTCGAGTTGTTAATAGAGTTTTAGTATGTCGAAATTTACAATTTGCTTACAATTTAGTAAAACTAATTGGGCGAAGGCGTTTAACTATATATTGCAGGAAAGAGTATAGGTAATATGATTCTTTGCGGTTTGTCATGGATAATGTAGCCGCTTAAAATTAATCAATAGACCTTTTCCCCTTATGAGTGAAATTTTTGATCTAGACAAGCCTAAACAAAAATTTCATCACAGCTTGAAAGAGCATCACAAAATTAGTAATATTCCGAAGTTTCGTTGCGAAATGTTGTAAAATGCGGATAATATATAGCCTTGCGAAGTTTGCTGTTCTTCAGGCATTGTATTACAAATGGGAAATTGATAATCAGTTTGATCATCTGATTATCAATTTCCCGTTTGTAATGCAAAATGACTGAAAAACGGCAAACTTCGCAAGGCTATATTATCCGCATTTTACAACATTCAACGAAACTTCGGAATATTACTAATTTTGTGATGCTCTTTCAAGCTGTGGTGATATTTTTGTCCAGACTTGTCTAGATCAAAATTTCACTCAAATGGGGAAATTAAGGTCTATTGTAGAGGTGTGCAAATCCGTAAATTTCGGATCGGATTGATAAAGTTGTTTCGTAGTCGGATCGGACTTCGATATCAGAAATAAAATGAATTAATTATCCATGCATTATCGCAATAATTAATTATCCATACATTTATCAAAGTATCATCGCGGTTTTCGCTGCATTATTCGTTTGATACTTCAATTGGACGTCACTTTGTCAGCTTCTTGACATGTATTTCTTGCCTTTATATTTATTTGGTTAAATATTTCAACCTGAATGAGAAATTTATTTTATTAAAGAATTCTTCGGATCGGATCGGATTGGAATTCTTTTTCAAAACTCGGATCGGATTCGGATTAGACAATTTCGGATCGGATTTTAAACATTAGGCAATTGTCGGATTATAAACATCCAATCCGATCCGGTGCACACCCCTAGTCTATTGTCAGTATTTAAATGATAAAGGTGTGCATGATTTTGAAAAAAGAATGATTATCAGCAAATTATTGTAAGGGCTGCTGCCCCCAGTCCCTCCCCCCTCCCCCCGACTGCTACGGCCCTGAGAAGTAATAAACCGAAAAGCATTTACCGATTTACGATTTGTTCTACGTTATCCATGTAAATGCCGTGATTTGGTAAATCAGTTTATACCAATGGTTTATACTGACAATACCATTTTATAATATTTTGTCTGTTTATACAAATAAAATTTTGTTATACTATTATTGCCGTAATTTTCCGAATGGCCAACCCGATTTTCCGAATATGTTAATTCTACAAAAGTTGGGGGATTAACCACCCCCAATATTCCCCCCCCCCCTCGCTACGGCCATGCTTCCTGATATAAGAGGAAATCAATTCTTAATTACTGGATTGCAAAACGGACAAATAATTGTTAAAACGACCCAGTCTTAGGACCATGCATGCAATAACCTCAATTGTGTGAAATTTTAGGGGCAATCGCTTTCTTGGCTGGTGAATTTGAGAATTTAGTTCAAATACTCAACATCACATGCTAATTACCATTCCAACCCTTTTAATTGAAAGTAGGAAAATCAATTATGCATAATTCAAGATCAGTAAACTCAATGTTTTTAACATTTCAAAAAAATTTATTGTTATAAACATTGTGTTTACTGATTTTGAATTATGCATAATTGATTTTCCTAGTTAGCTTGTCAACTAATAGGGCTGAAATGCGCCTTAAAACCATCAATTAAAAGGCTGAACTGTGCCTTTAAAAACGCACTAAAGGAACCATTCGTTATTTATGACCGGGAGTGGACTGGCAAAATTCAATTAACAACTAAACAATATGTCCTGCCCCCTGCATCACAAACAAAATTCAATGACCCCCTTCATATGACCTTTAAAAAAGTAGTAACCCCCCCCCCCCCCCCCCCCCCAC